GTCCTCCTAAAGTCTTAGTTTGTGATTGTTCTTTAGAGAAAACGCTCCCACAGCATGTGCAGTGATGACAGTCGGACCTTTTCAGAAAGCAGCGTCTCACCACGTCGCCTACAGAAAACACTGAAGAGCCCAAAACAGGAAGGATGCGAAAAGGTCGGCCGACGAAAATAAAACACGGCACAGAAATAATAAGACGAATAATAACAAAGGCCTCTCTAAAATAAGAAGCGACGCGACCGCGGTGGAAACAGAGAGTTCACAAAGCAGTGATTAACGGGAGAGACGGCGGAAAAAGCAAGCAGAGAAAATGAAAGTTTAAAAAGAGACGCTGAGATCAGAGGTGCAGCGCGACAACATTCATTAGAAGCAGTGGCTGTTTTAAAGACGACACGGCGGGTTTATTTCAGGCTGAAACAACAGCAGCTATTATTAGCGTGACTCTGGTGTCGGTGAGTCAAACCGAACCAAGTGACTCAGAGAAATCCGTCCTGAAAAAAACCCAACAGGCCTGCAGCTGGTTAGCGTCACCGCGTCCTCCGAGACCCGAAGGATGGTCGGAGGTCGTTTAGCTTTCACGTCAAGCTGTGCTCTTCTGAAAGCCTCTCCAGCCAGTAAATTACTGGTTCCAATCAGTTTTTTGTGGGTGAACGTTGTCGGTTAAGTCGTCTTTAATCGTGTNCAGTATGTTCTGTTCTGTTGCAGTCCAAAGTTGTTTACTGTGACAGAACCGAACACACTGTTGTTCAGTTGTTTGTTAAAAAAGGTCCAAAATACCTGTAGTCTATTTTTTTAAACTTGTCTGCACTACTTTTTTTTTATTGCATTCTTTATCTTTTCATTTTATTCATAATATTAATAGTGATAATAATAATGACGTTAATTAATAATAAATTATTATGAATATTATTTATGTTATGACCCTCCAGTCGTGTCTGTTCAGTGTCTCTAACGTTGTGTTCTGTTCTGTTTACAACTTTCCCCAAACTCCTCCCCTACGTCTCTGCCGTTGTGTACGTCATCACGCATTCCCGCCTGGACCAATCGCGGCGCAGGAGGGCGTCGAGCGGTCTCGCGCCGGGTAAAAGGGATTTGACAGTTGCGGGTCTCGAGCCGATCCTCAGTCACTTCCTCGGCGGGACGATGGCGGCTGCTGCTGCCTGCGGCCACAGCGCCGCGGTGTCGGCCGCCGTTAGCGGCAAGAAGCCGCACGCCGGCCGGGAGCACGGCCGGAGGAACCGGGAGAACTCCCGCCGGAGACAAGCCGCTCTTTTGTTTCTCAGCAACATCTCCCTGGACGGGCGGCCGGTCCAGAGCAGCCCGGCCGAGAACGGAGCGAGTCGCCACCACAAAGACGCCGACCCGGAGGGGGCCAACTCCGGCCCCGCGGCGGCCCCCGGCTGCCCGGAGCCCGGCAGCAGGGGCGGCTACGGGACGTTCTCCGGTCCGTGCCGCGGGAGCGAGGCACCGCGGACGGCGCCCCTCAACGTGCCGCCCATCCTCGTCCTGCCGTCGGACTCGGGCTACAACGACGCGGAGGTGCTGCTGGAGTGCCGCAGAGGCTCGTTCTCGTCGCCCGGGGACAGCAACCTGCTCTCCCCGTCCACCTCCAACACCAGCCTGCTGCCGTCGCCGCTGGGGCCGCGGAAGTCCTCCACGCTGCTGTCGGTCCAGAGCTGCAACTCGGTGTCCTCGGAGCCCAGACACAGGTGAGAAAACACCACGAACCGGGCTGAGTTTACTTTCTTTTTCGTTTTAAAGTTCGGACAGAAACTTCTTTATGAGCTGGTTTAAGTGGACCCAGTGTTGTCGTGAGGTTCGGGTTCGGTGCTGGAGGTTGATCGATCCGCTCGGTGCCTCCACATGAACTCAGAGAAAGTGTTTAAAGGAAGCTGGTGAGTCAGTGGTCGTGATGCAGCCTCGGTGAGCTGCCTGCGGGCTCAGAGGAACATCCAGGACCGGTACCGATGTGCTGACTGGAGGAGCTGCGGTCTGTGGAGGGCGTTCAGACTTTTATTTATCTCTTCGACAAGTGTTGGTGTCAGCTTGTGCCAAAAGATGACTTGTTTACAGGCGTATGGTTGAGAGAAAACTTTTCAGAAACAAGTTTAAACACACAATAGAGCAGAACATCCTCTGTTAGTCCCACAAGGGGAAGTCTGCAGCACAGAGATGGTGAGAAAAGCAAGAAAACACAACTATAAATGAAAGAGACGAGGTGTAAACACCACATACACAATGTAAATAAGAACCCACAGGGACAGGAGGAACACAAACTGAAGGATGACTCATTCATTGTGGTGCTGATTCGGATAAATTAACAAATTCTTACCAGAAACTCATCCTGGATTTCTGGTTAAAGAGGAAATAATGACGTAATTGTTCATTAATTTAACAGCAGAGCTGCAGGGATTAATCGTCAACAATTAAATCACTAGTACTAGTTTCTGTTTTGATGCTTGATTTGTCGATTTTAATAATTTGTTGAAGGAAAGCCTTAAAAAATTGACGTTTTCTGGTTTCTTTACGACTCTGTGACTGAATATCTTTGGGTTGTGGCCAAACCAAGACTTTCAAGAAACACTGATGAGTATTTTTCACTATTTCTGACATTTTATACACCAACTAATCCATTCATTGAGAAAATGCTACTAATAATAGTTATTGATAATGAGCATAATGTGGGTCTACCAACATGGTTTTATTTCATGGCGATACCGATTATTGGTAAACAAGGATACCAAACACCAATATTTGGAACTGCTGTACATTAAATATTAAATATCAACAGCATATAACAGAAGGAAACCTGTTTGTTCCTCATTAATAAGGATTCCTTGAACTGAAAATGTCCAGTAGATATCAGAGTGATGTTGTCAGAGAGCCACCTGATGCTAACACGCTCTCTTCTACGTTTAAAGGCTTCGTCTCCTCCAGCTACACCTTTTGTTTTTCACCCTTTTACCACTTTTTTTTCCCACCAAGGTCCATATCTTAAAGCATTGTTGTTTTTCAGACCCTGTTTCAAGTTAGTCTGTGTCTGCCTGCTAGCTTAGCTGCTAGCCGTTAGCATAGCATCAGCCGCTGTGAAAGCCGCTGATGTCCTGAGATGGTTTGTGCTTCTTGTTCAGTTCTTGTGTCGTCGGTTGGAGCATCTTGTCGAAGTAAATCAGACGTTAGAAAGAGGTTATTGCACTTTAGCTAGCGTTAGCAACAGACCTGACAGCAAACCCTGTAGCGATAGCTTTAGCCTAGCTCCGTCTGCAATGTAAGTTGCATGACACCAACTATTCCTGTTGTTTTGGTATTTTTAGTGTAACGGAGAAGAAATGATGCGCTGCCTCGTTGCTCGAGACCATAAAGCAACGACAGAAAGAGAAGGAGCGGAAGTAACACGTTCAGTTTGCCCTAGAAAATAAACTGGAGTTCCACTTTAAAGCTAGCTAGCAACTTACCACGAACACACCGCCTGACTCGGCTGTGACACACGCTCTGCTACATGCGCTGCAGACAGTGTTGAGGGTATTTAAACAATCAATTAGGAGCTGGACGAACTACAAAATACCCCCAAGTATTATTTTTGCTTTTTGTACATTATGTTCTGTTAAAAAACAACAACACAAACCATCATTTTTGTGCATATCTGACCATATATAAACTCAACGCGAATGTTTGGCAGCCGAAATATCTGTTGGGCTCAATTATTAGTGTTTTTTGTTGACGTTAATGTTTTGTTGTCTTCTTTTTGGATCCATCTAAGCTTGTTTTGTCACGGAATAACGTCAAAACAGCTTTTAATAAGGAATGACAGGCTGAGCTTTGTGTTTTTTAAGCTCTAGATGTGTGATTTCTCTCATAGAATAAAACACATGCTAATGAATATATATGTTGAGGATAATTTCAGGTTTATTCTCAACCTTACTCATAACTTAACATTGTTTGAATTAACCGTCTAACTACGAATGCCGTTTTAAAAGCATCAGCCACCTGGAGGATCTGGTGGTTTTGTTGACAGGAAGTGAAAACAGAAACGGTTCAAGACCACAAACAACACGAGCTGCTTTCTGTGACACAGTAACCCGAATCAATCCGTCCACCGCTCGCTGTAGCTCAGGATGGGCTCCCGCCACTGACAGAGGGAGGAATGACAAGTAGGAAGGAAACGCGGAGCTGACGAGGATAAGAGATGAATATCGCAGCGTGAACTACAAGAATGCGGTTTTCCTGCGAAGTGACTGACAGCGAGTGTTCATGAAGCGCCTGGCAGCGGTTGAGACATGCTGAGGCTGCGTGAGCGCTGACGGATGGATCGGCTCTGTCATCGCCTTGGCAGGGGATCAAAACCCAGAGAATGTCAGCGATAAACACCGCTTAACCTATTTACACCTAACAAGAGGCTGGAAATTACCAGCAGATAATAGCTCATCAGTCAGGCTGCAGCTCCAGCCGCCAGCCGTCACCTCTTGCTGTTTGACTTGATTTCATTCGATGCGGCACATCCAGGGTTTCACGCCAAGACGGGTGTTGTTGTTAATAATAATAAGGAGCATACTTAGCATTGGTTTGTGACAGGTGGAGCGTGCAGTGTGAGGATGAAGAATGGTAATCTGCAAAAAGCTGCAGCACATTTTTTCTGTAAATTGCTTTGAGCTTCAGTGTTTCGAGAGGTTGGTTGGTTTATTTGGTGGTGAAAAATGGCCGACACGACTTCCCAGAGCCCACAGTGGTGCTTTCACAAACCTCCCAGAGGTCCAAACCCCAAAGATAGTCAGTTTATAAAGATGCTAAAGCGAGAAAACCAACGTTTAGGAGGCTGGAACCAGAGCATGTTTAGCATTTTTGCACAATAAATAGAAAAGATGTTGATAAATGCAGCTCCAGTCGCCAACCGTCATCTGCAGCTCCTGCTGTTTGATGCCACACCTCCAGTAGCTCATGCCAACATGGTTGTTGTTGTTATTATTAATAAGTAGCATCATTTACACTCTTAGCATTGGTTTATGGTGGCTAAAATGTGCAATGTGTGGATGAAGAATGTTAATTTGCAAAAAGCTGCAGCTCATTTTTATCTGTAAATTGATTTTAGCTTCAATGGTGCAATGTTTTCAGGGGTTGGTTGGTTTTTTGGCTCAGGAAGATGGCCGACACAACTTCCCAGAGCCCACGGTGATGCTTTCACAAACCTCACAGAGGTCCAAACCCCAAAGATAGTCAGTTTAAAGTGAGAAAAGCAACGTTTGAGATCCTGGAACCAGAGCATGTTTGGCATTTTTGCACAATAAATAGTAAAAATAAAAGATGTTGTTAAATGCAGCTCCAGCGGTTTGACGCCACACCTGCAGTAGTTAATGCCAACATGGTTGTTGTTGTTATTATTAATGTTATTATAATGTTGTTATCATTAGTAATAATATTAATTCTACAGCAAGAACCGGCTGCTGTTTAAAGTCTCTCGAGAGTTTGGAGCTGAGAACCTCGTGGACGTCGGGCTTCCTGTGTTGAACTTAAGCCTTCTCGCCTAAACACTTCCCCGGCGTGACGAAGTCGGCCGTCGTCGGAGCCGATCATCAGTCTCGCTCTGTTTAGCCTCGCTGTCCGACGGCTGTGTGAAGTGCTGCCAGCCGGCTAAGCGGCCGGCTAGCCGAGCGCTTCATTAGCGCGCTGAGTGAACGCAGTCGAGCCGAGTCATGTCAACAGTTTAGCTGCTGAGCCGACGTTCTTGTAAACGGTGACTCAGGGCCGCCGGCTGATGGAGGCGTCCAACTGCAGCTGCTCAGAGCTTCAGCTCCTCGACGTCGCTCGGTTTGAAAAGATGTTCTGGAGAATCTTCATCGCTGCCGAGTGAATCTGCTTCCAGTCTTGGCTTTAGCAGAGTTTTTTATTCATAGCTTGAACAGCAGCGATGTATAAATGAAAAATAAATGATCTTCTAACTTTGGAGCATTACAGGTCATCCGTCTGACATCCAGCGAGGATTAGCGCCTTTAGCTCACCTCTAGTCCCATCGTTGTGTCGTGATTTCCAGAGAAGTGCTGGAAAAGACAACGAGGGATTCGCGGTTCAGAAACTCGCGTCGGATTGTTTTGCGTCTGTTTTTAAATTCAGAACAACGAGATGTTCTGCTAAACTGGACGTGAAACATTCATGAGCTTTTGCAGGAAGCTACGACAAACACTCAGGAGGCAGAAAACACACATGTTGGTGCTGCGTTCCAAATGTAGGGATGTAATTCAGGTTTAACCTACGATAACCTCTCTGCATCCACGACCTTTATTCTGAAGGCCTTACACTCCGGCCGGTCCTCACAAACATAGAAGACACATCAGAGGAGGCCTGTGAGAGTCATTTAGCTGAGCATGAACTCTGTGATGCTGCGGGAGCGTCACAAACCAGAGGATGGCACTTTTTTTGGGTGTCGGAGTTTCCTGTCTGTGTGCGTTTGGCTGCCTGTCAGCTACGTTGTGTGTGTGTGTGTGTGTGTGTGTGTGTGTGTGTGTGTGTGTGTGTGTGTGTGTGTGTGTGTGTGTGTGTGATGCAAGCGATGCAACTTTAAGCCAGAATATCTGCGCTGACCTGATACCACTCGCTGCTCTTCTTCTCTCAGATGTAAAGTCTGTTTACGTCAGTGTGCGGAGCTGAGTGGAATCACTTCTTATTGAACACAGCTGGAATCCACGGACGGCTAAATCTTGAGCTAGTGCCCTGTTACGGTG